AAAATAAAAATTATAAAAATTATTATTAAATTTTAAGTTCCTAAAATATATCTAGATAGTCAATTTATAAAAATTATAAAAATTTTAATATTAAATTGAATCATTCAAATTATATGTGGACTGTTCAAAATATATCTAAACAATCAATTTATAAAAGATATAAAAAATTTATATTAAATTAGATTGTTCAGATTAAATCTAAACTAGTAAGATTGATTATTAACAAATTTATTAAAAACTTGATCTTTTTTATGCATTTTTATTTTGATTAATATAAAATAAAAAAATTAAATCTAGATTGTCCAAATCTTGTCAGGAGTGATGTGTATGATGGTGCTCATTATGTAATGAGCACTGAGAGTAGTCCAAATTTAATATTAAAAATTTCTATAATTTTTATTTTCACAAATATAATATTTAAAAATATTTAAAAATTAATTTAAAATTGAGGGTAGAAATCATTTTGAAACAAAATAAAGGACTAAGATCACCTTATAGGTGATGAGTGTGAAATGCGAATTCGTAGAAAAAATTATCACAATCACATGTCTTTAGTAAAATGAATTTTCCAAATTAATCATATTTTCTAGAAGCATTAAAAAGTTTGGAAATATTGTAATTTGAATAGGATATGTTATCAATATCGGTCAATATATTCTATAATTTTAGATTACCAAGATAATGTATTCAATAATAAAAAGATTTTGGGATTTAAATTTTGAATTTTAAGTTAGACCTATTAAAAAAATTAATATATAATGATTAGATAAAATTGTCAATTTAATTTGAATTTTTCCTCCACGTGTTAGTTACTATTTTATTCCAATTAAAATTATGAAACTCACAAGTTTGTATAAAATTCTAAGAGCAGAGATGTGTTAATAGAAATTTAATAATGAATAAAAGAAATAAAAAAACATAACAATTTTTTTAATGAAAAGTCCTTATAGTATTAAATCCAATTCCAAGCGTTTTGTTTTTTAAGTATGTTAAAAGGATACATTTTTAAAATATTAAAATTAATTATACAAATTCATATAACAAATAAGAATTTAAGTTTTTTTTTAATTCTCTTGATCCTCATAAGCCAAATCTCACTTGAATTTTAATATAATAAAACATACTTATTAAAAAATATTACTCCTTTTGTTAAAAATGTAAGGCATTTTTAACCTAATATCACCCTTCAATAAAGTAATTACCTACTTTTAAACTAACCCTATCTTTTTATATAATATTTTCACTTTAATTTGAATTTGAATATAAAAAAATTTAGATATGGTTCTTAGCTAGATTTTAATCTCATCTCTACATTTAAAGTATATAATCTAAATAAAAAAAATTTGAACCACATTATTTCATCATTATATAGTTAGATATCATATAATAAAAACACATACTTATTCAAAAAGTAAATTATTATAAGATTTAATTTTTTTTATTTGTATATTTAATCAAATTAATTTAAATTGTTTTTCACATTACCACAATTAAACAAGGGCCACAAGGCTTATTTGTGCAACTTTTTATTAATAATAGAGTTGAAAAAGCAGACAAACTTATAGATTATGAGTTGGCAAGTACAAGTTAAAAAGGTACTTTTTGGTGAGTTGTGATTTTCTCAACCTAGCCTATTAACCTGTCAAATATTTAAAAAAAATTATTATATTACTGCTTGCATAAAAATAGTATTTTTAAAATTTATTTTTATTATCTTTAACATCATTAATAATAATTATTATTAAATTTTTATTATCTTCAAGTAAGAAATAAAAAAATAGTTAAATAGGTAAAAATAGGATGAAAAAGGAGAAGAAAAATCAATAAAATTTCTTTCTCTTCTCAAATCCTTCTACATGGTATTGCTGCAACTGATAAATATAATGAAATGGAAGTTCTATGTGAACGATGGAATATACAAGTGGTAGTTGAAAACAATTTAATAATAAAATTTTCTAACTCAATCAAACATGTACATGTTTTCTTTTTCTAGATCTCTAGACTTTCATTTTGAAAAACCAAAACATGCATACACAATAATAGTAAAAATGAAAGGACAAAGATGCTAGAACAAAATGAAGAATAATATTGGATGAGGAAGGAATGAATAATTAGTAAAGAATAATATTTGATGAGGAAGGAATGAATAATTATTAAATAATAAAAAATTTTAAAATAAAAAAATGTTAAGTGAGTTTGCTTGTAGGCTGGCGAGCTCAAGTTAAATGATGCGAGCTAGTCATAACTAAGTTTTAGATTATGCAACCCAACCCATCACTCTTTGGTAAAGTTGGGCTCAAAGTTTCATCTCATATTACCAACTCTAATTGAGATAAAAAAAAATACTACAATTTAATAGGAAAAGTCTCAAAGATTATGAGCCTATACCTTTACCTAATATGTCAAGTTTGGATGCCATTGGAAATGGATTAATAAGAAATGAATTATATTATGATAGGAGCTGTGTTGTATGCAGAATTGACAAGATTGCTGTAAACCTAACTTCTGAGCAGAAGAAAATTTATGATAAAATAATTGATGCCATTGAATTTGATAAATCTCAAAGATTATGAGCTTAAACCTTTACCTAACACGTCAAGCTTGAATGCCACTGGGAACGGATTAACAAGAAATGAATTAAATTATGATAAGAGTTGTATTGTATGCTGAATTGACAAGATTGCTGCGGAGCCTAACTGTCAAGTAAAAGAAATTTTATGATAAAATAATTGATACCATTGAATTTGATAAAGGTGTTAGTACTAAAAGACGTATGTTTGAAGGAAACATTATGCTTCATTAATATCTAAAGGTAAAATAGTTCTTAATGTAGCATCAAACGGGATAGTTTTTCTATGGCTCCCAAGAAGACAAACAACTCACTTACTCACAATTTTGTGTTCCTCTTTTTATGATTGAAAGCACTATATTTAGCATGAAATGAGTGAGCAACTTAGTTGAATTGTTGGTTCACATGTCATTGATTATAAGGGATGAGGCTTTAATGGCATACAAGTTTTGTTTTAAAGCTTTTGACATATACTTAAAGAATATTCTAAAGCAACCCATTAGTTGATGATCTTCCCTCATGTTATTCTATGTGAGTTGAGAGAAGACATTATTTTCATACATTTGGGATAATTATCAACTTCTTACACTAGCAAGAGCCATGAGACTTATGAAAATAAATAATGGAGAATCTATTAGTACTTTTTAGGATTTTACTTATTGGATTATCTTAATTGGTGATGGGACTACTGCTGGAGTTAATAAATGATCTGTAGAGTGTGGATATTAAGACCTAACTAATTTGTTACTAGATAGTTCAATAATTCAATAAAGTCTATTGTTGATTAACAATGTCTATAATTCTTCATATTTTAGAGATAGGGCTATCTTTGCCCCTTTAATGGCTGTGGTTGAAGAAGTAAACAGATATATGTTGTCCCTACTCCTTAGATAGGAAGTTGAATGCTTGAGCTCTAATAATGTGAAAGATGATGGGAATATTAATTCACTTAATGACTTATACTCTACAAACTTTCTAATTCAATTACAATGTTAGCCCTCCTGAATCATGAAATAAAGCTAAAACAACTATTTTAATGTGGAAAATTGATAAGTCTATGGGTTGCATAATGATACATGTCCCATAGTTACATGAAATTGGAAAAGCATGTTATTGCAGCCTAATAAATGTCCGGGCCATTTGTAGGGACAAAAGTATGTATATCATGTATTACTATGTGTCCATTTGATTCCAGATTATCATTAACTATGAGGAGGAGGTAGTTTTCTATTATGTTGGCCTTTGCCATGACCATTAACAAGAGTTAAGCTAGAGCTTGTGTTATATTGGGTTATCCATAAGCAGTCATACATTGTTGTTTCTTGTGTTCGAAGCAAGAAGGGTTTAAAAATGTTGGTTCTTAATGAGGAAGATCACTTCACAAACATAATTGCTAATGTCATTTATAAAAAAGCCTTCAATAGTTTGATCTAATTAATTATGAATTTTTGTTAATCCACTTCTCATTGTATCCATTCCATTCACACCGCATGCATTTAGTTTTTACTATTTACTTAGCTTTAATATGCATATGTAAAATTAAAGACAATAATTACATAGACCCATCACTTAGAGGATGAAGGTGTCTACTACAAGTTATTCTTTTAGGAAAGATTTTCATACAAGATTGATACTTAATTATACAACTTTTGTATAAGAAACCCGTTCATCACACAGGTATTTTACTAGTTACATTTAAAAAATTATAATTTTTTATTTAAGTTTTACGATTTACAAAATAAAAGTTATTATTTCTTAAGTAAAAGTTATGACTAAGACTTATTATTTTGAGACAAAAATTATACTTAACAAATTGTGTTTTTTATTCAATTATTGTAATTTACAAAAAAAATTAATATTTTTTAAATAAAAATTGTGATCTGAGCTTGTTATTTTAAATAAGGGCAAAATAAATTTTTCACTTTAAAATTATTAACACAGAATTTTCAAAAAAAAAAATCAGTGAAATTATGATATTTTAAAAGTTCAAATTTTCATTTATATATGTGAGGGGATTTTATTGTTATTTTTCTTATTTATATTTATTTTATAACAAATATTATTATTAATATTTTTAACTATTTAAAATCCACTTATTTTCTTTTAGTTAGATAAAAATATATTAAATATATGAAATTAAGTTTATTATTTTACTTCTTTTTTTTGTTTTTTGCCTTGTCAATGTTGTTTGGATTTGGATGATTAGGATTGAGGGAGTTAGAGGGGAAATCAGCCCACCGGGTTAACGGGTTGTACCGATTAATTGGGTTAATCTGGTCGCAAAAAACTGTCTCTCAATTGAATGGACGAAGGCCTGGCCAGGTTAACCGATTCGATAGACCAGTTTGGATCGGGTTCTCAATTCAATATTTTATATTATTATACAAGTCTCTCTCCGTAACAGAATAAACATTGTGTATAGATGTAGATAGATACAGTCTAGATTTCTATAATTTCCGGTTCCCCTTCTTTAATTCTTTCACATGGTTGCATTTGGAAATCGAACGGAATGGAATATGATGGTGCAGAATGAAGTGAACATCTGAAAACAAAATAGAACCGTGCTTTCTACCTCCAACTCTCGCTTCTGGTTCCAAGCAGTGGATCGCCATTATAGCTATTAGAAGGTATCATTCGGGGTTCCACATATCTCCTCCAAATGAGAGTTTGGATTCGCTACGGAATTTTGGTTTATACAACTGAAGAAATCCCATTGTGGAAATGCTTCATTATTCTTATTGCTTATGGTTCCCTTTCGTTTCTTAATCTTCAGTTTTTCATGTGTCATGTCTGATTTGTGCTTAAAGAAGCTTATTTGAGTTTTATCCTGAGTATACCTGCTTAAGTTTCCTATCGCTTTATGCCCCCTTTATTCTTAAAATTTTCGTCTTTGATATAGTGAAAGGGAATCAACGTTCTGATCAGATGTTTTTGTCGTCGGGTGTCAATGATAGCTCCATATTAAAAATAATTAAAAAGAAGTACTCTTAGTTTGCATGATGGTTTTGATGTTCTCAGATTCTCTGAACTGACATGATAAACTTAACGTTTCTTTATGTTATGATAGACATTTATCTTCTTTAAGAAACTACGAAAGCTTTAGAGTACAATAACTTGTTCAATAGAATTGGTTGTTGTGTCTTCATAATGCATGCACTCAGGTTGCTAAAAGAAATTGTTATTGTAGTGCCAGGGAATGAGTAAGCTGCTGTTTCTTGATCTTCTTCCATTTGTAGAAGCATCAGAGTGCTGTTTATCATTTCAATAATTTAGGTCAGATATTTAATATTAAAAGACCCAAGGATGACTGCAGGGAGAAACATGACAACTCAACAGCTGCCAAAAAAAAGAGTGGCATTTGTGTTGATTGATGGGTTGGGTGATGTGTCACTGCCAATATTCGGATGCAGGACTCCTCTTCAGGCTGCAAAAGTCCCCTGCTTGGATGCCATAGCATCTGCTGGAGTTAACGGACTTATGGACCCTGTTGAAGTAGGCTTAGCTTGCGGAAGCGATACAGCTCACCTCTCCTTGTTGGGTTATGATCCTAGAGTTTATTATCGTGGTCGAGGTGCATTTGAATCCATGGGAGCTGGACTGGCAATGTCACCTGGTGATATTGCTTTTAAGGTTGGCTTGTAATTTACTTCTTTCCTCTAACAGATGTATCGAGTCTTTTTCTCCCTTTTATATCACTGTCCTTGTTCTCATGAATCTAATGAATGCTTTAGAAACTATCATATATCCTGGATGCATTTTTGTTGATTGATGCTTTATTTGATACTAGAGCGCCCATGATCTGTTCCTTTATGTCAGGATCGGTAGAAAAGATTTGTTTTGATATTTCTTGAATAGCACATATAGTTACTCTTAAGTTGAAAATTCTGTTAATATTTTTTCTTGCTTCCTTGCATTTCTAGACAAGGGGACCTGTGATAGTAACTTCTTGCTTCATAGTTACTGCAAATAAATTCCAGCTTAGATGAATTTGACTACCTAATGCATAATATCTTCATTCCTCACTATTCTCGATGACTCATTTGGGGGGGAAAAGGAGTGCATTTTCATCATAGCAGTAGGCAGGTTCTTGCATCTATTTTAAGAAATATCTGTCTAGAATCTTTGACTTAAAGATAGCCACTTTTGTCACATGTGTTTGAGCATTTCCTTTCACATTCATCTCATTTTATGTTTTTTGTAGAAACTTAGAGGTATGGCTATATACTTGTACTTTTTTATTTTTATGTGGGAGATTGGCATACATTGCAGATTCTTATGGAGAATGATGTTGCAAGCAATCCATAAGCTGTAATTAAAAAAAAAAAAAAAGGAAAGCTTAAGGAATCTACATTTCATGTTCAGTATACTAGAGGCAACATTAGTAAATTGGTCCTTTGTTCTTTGACCAAGGGACTAATTAAATTCCTTATCCTGTACTACAGTTGGAGTTGATATGAAAAGGGATTGTCTTTGACCTTCCCATTCTGATAATCAGTTTAGCTCAGAATTTTATTTATTCTTCCTGGTAATGAGAACTTATTTAATTGCCTTTCTACAGTCAAATTTTGCAACTCTGGATGAGAAAACTGGAATAGTCACCAGTAGGAGGGCTGACAGGCACTTTGAAGAAGAAGGCCCAATACTGTGTTCAGCCCTAGATGGAATGAAGCTTCCTTCTTTCCCCCAATATGAAGTCAGAGTCAGGTGTTGATACCTAGTACTGCTATTTTTTACATTTATTTCTTAATGAATGCAATTACTTCATGTGGACAGATTTATCATTTTCCATATCCTTTTCAAATATAACTTCTAAATAGCAGCACAGTTCTTTGTATCAATAAACTCAATTTTGTTTTGGAGTGGGTAGCTCATGTGGTTGGTTTTTATTCACTTTTATCTAGTTTAAGGATTTTGTTTAATATTTTCTTTACTCTCAACCGTTAGGTTGATTAATGAATGATTGAAACATTAGAATTCAAAGGTTAATGTAGAGTTACTCAGTAAAAGCAATAACTTTCATTTTTTTTTTTTGGGGGGCTATATTTCTCATAGGTATGCAACAGAGCATAGATGTGGCGTGGTTGTCAAAGGACCAAATTTGAGTGGAAACATATCAGGAACTGATCCATTGAAGGACAACCGCTTTCTTTTGAAAGCAAAAGCTTTAGATGATTCTCAAGAAGCAAGCCATACTGCAGATGTTGTTAATGAGTTGTCCAAAGAAATAACCAAGATTCTAGTTTCACATCCCGTGAATGCTAAACGTGTTGCAGAAGGGAAGAACATAGCTAATGTAGTCCTTTTAAGAGGTTGTGGTATTCGAATTGAGGTCTGTTATTTAAAATTTTATCATATTTTGTTCATTTACATAGTTTGCTACCTTAGAGGAAGGCACATCAAGTGAGAATTATTTTTAGGAAATACCTAACAATATTTAAAACTTGAAACTGATTATGGTGTTGGCTATTCTAGTAAAAGTATAGTTTCTGTTCTATACTTTGAAATTTATATTTTTCCATGCTTTTCATCACAAACTTGGTAAAATACTTGGATATTAACACACATGATATTTCATCCCAAATAAGAAAAATAGATGTAGCATATCCAGAATTGCAATATAATTTATTGAAGCTAATGTGCTCATTTACATGTCTTATATATGCATCTATTTTTAATTGCTTTTTACAGGTTCCTCCATTTGTAAACAAACATGGTTTGTGGCCATGCATGGTAGCTCCAACAAAAATAATTGCTGGCCTGGGCTTATCACTTGGCATTGATATTCTTGAAGCTCCTGGAGCAACTGGAGATTATCGAACGCTACTAACTTCAAAAGCAATAGTAATAGCCAAGGCACTCTCAGCTCCATTGCAGTCTTGTCCTCAAGTTTTTGTACCTGGAGAGGTTGAGCATAGAGCAGGCCGGTCAGAGGGATATGACTTTGGATTTCTACATATCAAGGTCAGAATTTTATCAGTTTTTGTTTCATTCTATTTGCTTAATTTTAAGTATTTCACTTTTACACTTCATATCAGTATGAAAATCTCATCGTATGTATAGATGATTTCTCTTATATTGTTAGCTTTTGCCCAAAATGAGGGGTTAATTGTGATTGTGTCTTAGGACTCACATCACAATCTTATGCATGTACTTTAGAAAAGTGCTTATGCTTATTGGTTCTGGTGCATGTTACTCTTGAAGATTAAAAGCAAATGATAAATCTCAAATGTGGAAGTGCGTGCATGTGCGTATGTGAAAGTGCCATTGTCTGTTCATCATGTGTTCATTTTCTTTTTGACAAATATGAAACTGAGCTTGGGATTAATTTTAAATATGTGTTTGATATGCTTTGATTTCCCCTCATCTTTCTATTTGTCTTCAAATTTAAGTTTCACATGAATGTTGAAGTACATTTCATGTTCAGAATTGGGACATATAATTTGAAAGTGCACATTCTATGATGTATGGGTTGAGTTTTCTTCCCTTTTGGTTAGAATACGATGCCAACAGGTAAGTTGATGGTATGTTTGAAATTGGATCATATGCTTGGAGTGAATGTTAGGTTCATTTCTTGAAGTTTTTAATTCCTTTTTTCAAACACATGATTGGACTCATTTGAGGTTCTTTTAATATGCTGTTGGTGAGTCTTCTAGGTCTTTCAGTGCAATTTTGGGAATATTCTGATTTCATTTCCTTGGATGTTTTTGGATAAAACGTTCATAACTATAATGATCACCTTTGGAATGAGAATTCTGGAGATATGGATTTGTTGACATGCTGATTTACAGAGGTTTGCTTGCTGCTATCATTCTGGCTGAGCTCAACGTCTTGACTACTGCAAGTTTTGGTTTCACGAAAATTTTGTTGCATTGGAAACAATAAAAAGGAGGGTCACAGGCTTTTGATTTTATGTCTTTTCAGCATCTCATTTCAAACACACTAACAAAGGACTTTAGCCGCTCATAATAGAGTCTGCAATTTAAAGTGTTGATGTCCCACCGTTTGATATTATTAATTTAACACTCATGAGACTCAATTACGCAAACAAATGTAAAATCTGTCAGAGATTATGATAAAATTGCTTGATGGACCTTCACTTAAGAGCTCAAGGGGGGAAAAAACAAAAGAAAAAGGAAGCAGAATGTGGACCTGTGGTTTTCCTAATTTCCCCCACTTCTAGGTGAAGGACCTTTGTGTGATGGGTTGTGTAAGAGGGTCTAAACAAATTGATTCATAGGTTACTCATCTAATGACGTTTTTTGCACCTTTGATCATCCACCTCCTCACAATCTGAGGTGGTGGATGATGAGAGGTCCTAGTTCTTCCTTGCTGAACTCTTGTATATTTTGTTTGATTTATAATTAATGCTACACTTTTACGTTAAAAAAGTCAATTCATTTGCCCACACTTGAGAGCTTAAACTTTGGGGGGAAAATGGTCTTTGGCAAACCATGATGAGCTGACCATTTTATTATCCAGAAACTATTAGTTCTGCTGAGAATATTTCAGGATCCAACCTATGTGATTTTGTGAAAATGAATTGGAAGACATAGAGATCTTACAAAACCTTCATATATCTTCTTCCTTAAACTACCCTCTGCTCTTTTAATTCTCTCTTCTTTGTCCATATCTGTATTTCCAGAGCTTAAAGATCTTATGTTCTTGATCCGATTTTCAACGTGACTGACTTCTTGTTTTTGTGCTGGTAGCAAGTTAACTCTGGCCCTGCATTTTTGGGTGGTCTATGGTTCAGGAAGAGTCTAGGTGTCCTCAGAGATATGTTTTCCATGTTGGGTTTCTTATTTATGGATAAAGGCTCGTTGAGTTATGCTTGGTCAACGACTTGACTTTTAGTTGGTTTTGTGGATGGACTTAACTTCAATCGTTTCATCTTGATTTGCTTGTTCATACTAATTAGTTTATTTTAGGCTGCACTAACGCCAACATAGCTTGTTTAATAAGATTTTCATGAAATAGCAATTACATTATTGAATTAACCAGAAACAACCTTGCAATGCTGCCTTTTCTGTTCTCATTATTCACCTGTTTTAACTTGAGCTATGTTAATTTGTAGAAATTTGAATTCTATATGATGAAATCTTATGATGCTGCAGGCAATAGACGATGCAGGACATGATAAGGCGACTGTTCTCAAGGTCAAAGGATTAGAAGCTGTCGATCGAGCAATAGCACAGTTGGCAAAGCTTCTCTGGGAGGCAGAATCAACCGGAAATTTTCAGTACAACATCTGTGTCACCGGAGACCACTCTACTCCAGTTGAATATGGAGATCACAGCTTTGAACCAGTTCCATTTGCATTGTGCCGGCTGAAAGACTTTGTTGGTGCAGTTGGTGAGGACAACGTTAGTGAAACTTCTCTTGACCCATTTCCTCTCCCAAGTGTTAAAGCTGGTGAGGATTTAACTAATGACTTGAAAATAGAACAAGAGAGAAGAGATAAAAGCTGTCGATCTTACAGTGGTGATTCAGTTTATGAGTTCAATGAGATAGCCGCAGCAAGGGGATGCCTCGGCCGATTCCCGGGGGGAGAGATGATGGGAATCATAAAGAAATTCCTTGCCCTTGATCCCTACTAAGAGTCGAAGAGTTAACGGTTGTTCGTAGCTTTCTTAGGATTTCACAATGACCTGTTTTTTGTTTCCTTTTCTTTTTCCTGCTCTGAAAGCAATTTTTGATTGCAGGCTCTTCATAACCTATGAAATATGTGAGATTGTAGAATAAGGATTCCTCTCCCTAAAATAACGGTGCAAAATCTGCCTGAAAGGAAGTCATTTGAAATACTTGTTCTTCCTTCATTTGCTTGTCTCTAATAATAACATCGATTATCTTCCAATCTTTCTACTATCATTTCAAAGATAGAACCATTCACTATTTGTCTTTTACATCAGCAAGCAATGATATGCTTATATGTGCAGAACATAGGAAAGCCTTAATATAATATTTGGATTGTGATCCTCTTTAATAGTGGATTATGCATTCATGATTAGAAGAAACTTACACAAAAGAATACTAAGTTAAATAAAAAAAAATTTTTAGTCATCTAACCAAGAAGAGGAATTCAAAATAGTGTCATTATCTTGATAGGAAGAAAAAATGGGCGTGATTATACATATATTTTTTCCCGTTGGACAGGACATGTGCATGAAATTTACATTCGTTTTGTTTAATCTAATCTTATTTCAATACATAATACTCGTCCATGTTGGTGATTGCAGAAAAGTTGAATTGAAACGCAAATTTATATCAAGTGCAGTTTTTATTTAGCCCTTGCAGGGGTATTTGTTAGATTTTTTAGAAATTTAAGTAAATGTTAAATATATATATATTTTTTTCATGAGTTCTTTTAATTTTATTTATAAGATACAAATACTTTGTTTAATATAGTTCTTTTATTCCCTCAGTAATATATGAGCCAGGCCACTAGCCAATTACTAAGTCACAAACCAAATTTATTAATTTTATTGTTAGATAAATGAGGGTACTTCGGATAATAAAATTACATCTCTAACATATTTATAGCTTTTAACTTTTTTTTCTAAAATTAAGATTAAATTGCAATATTAAAAAAATTGTTTGATACATTTTATATATGATAAATTAATTAGTACAATAATACGTAATATAAATCAATAAAACAGTAGAAGTAGTTTCTAATAATTGTAAACTTAATATCACAGCTATGAACTCTCCGTGTGGCTTATTTTGTTGGCATATTAACTCCAATATTTTACCATATCATACAAAATTTTTAATCACCATTACACATCATTTAACTTTTATAAACTTTCGGTCAACTTATATCTCGAGATATATAAGCGTAGCCCATTAACAAAAAAAGTTTGGAGACAAAACAAAAATAAAATTTTTACAGTTATCTTTTTATTGAAGACAATCTTATTTTATATAATATTAAATATTAAATATGAATACCTTTTTAAATAAATATTTAAATATGCGTTTATTATTTTGTGAGGAACAAGTCATTTTCGCTAAATTCAACTTCCACTAATAAAAAATTTGAGTAATGTGGACTTATTAATAAAAAATTTTTTTTTTTTGGTTACCTATAGGTATCATTCTTTTGGATGACAATCTTGTTCAAGGTATTATTGAATATTAAATATGAGTATTTTTTATAATAAAAATTTAAATTATAATTTATCATGAAGGTTAACTCTTTTCATTAGACTTAATTTCCTTTATTAATTAAAAGTTAATGTATAGGGAAAAAAAAAAGCCTGACAATGTAGACTCATTAACAAAAAGTTAAAAAGAAAAGTATAGATTAACATGGGACCCATTTTTTAAGAAAAATGCTGGACCCTTGTCAATGTCACATTCAGGGTAAAAATATGCTAATTAAATAATATTAAAAATAATTTTTTTTTTTTACATCACCCCATGAATGTCGACAGGATTACCTTTTTTTTTTCCCCCAACCGATAGGATTACCACCCTTCACCTAGAATAACATCACTCAAAACACACACATCAATATCATACTAAGACTAAAAGAAAAAGTACAAGTAGAATTTATCTTTTTTTTTTTTGGATGGCTCACTCACTTATATCTTGGGTAAACAAAAAACAAAACTCACTCTATCAATAGCTGAATCATAATATATTACTGTTGAACTTTGTTGTGTTCAAATTTCATGAAAGAAGTAGCAACTGAAGGACTTTGAAGTCAAACTAGAAGAAATTCTCATCAAGTAATACAAGTACCATCTACTTAAGAAATAATCCGCTCCAACATTCAATGACTAAATGCATTAATATTTGTCATCATTTTGAGATTATGTTTAAAAAAAAGATGTGATAATAAAATTCATTCTAACTAGTTTTAAGGTTTATCAATTTTAGTATGATATTGATAATTTAAAAATCACATCTTAATATCACAATATAAAAATATTAAAAAAACGCTTAGTTCTAATAAGAAATTGTTGTTATCATTTAACAATTTGTTATTATCCTCACTCTTATTTTTTTTGGGTCATGTATCCTGACACTATTTTATTACCAGGGAAAATATTAAAAACTACATGAATAAGAATATTTAATATGATATTATAAATATATAATACAAATTTTTTTAAAGCCAGTAATCATGGCCAAGTACGTTTAAATTTTTTTCAAGCAAAAAAGAAAGAAAGAAATATAAATACTATTATAAAACTGTAAAAAATATCACCAACTTTATGTGATGAATTCATTTCGATTTCTTCCCTACCAAACTAGCCTAAATTTAAAGGCAAAATTTCAGATTTATATTCTATGAATTCATCTTTAGGGTTATTTTACTTTGATTACTATGGTAAGCAAAGCTATTTTTATACATTTTTTTTAACTATATATTCCCTCTGTTAAAAAATATAAAATTTTTTTTTAAGAAATTAGATGTTAAAAAATATAAAATATTTTTAGTCTTTCGAGATATAATCATTGTCTTTTTTTTTTAAGTGCTCCTATTAATAATGACTTTATATTTATTATAGGGTGTTTAATAGGGGTAAATATAAAAAGATAGGGTTAGTTGGAAAGCAGATAATTACTTTACTGGAGGGTGAGATTTAATTAAAAATATTTTATATTTTTGAATAGAGGGAGTATATAAATTAATAAAATTAAAAAAAATAATCATTTAATTTGTGCAATTTTAACTTAGTAGTAACTCAATTCCTAAATTTTAACTAATGTAATTCAATCTTTATAGTTTTTTACTTAGTTGCAACTTGGTCTTTGAATTTTAGTTTGGTGCAACTCAATTTATATAGTTTTAACCATTTAAAATAATGGTCTTTGTATTTTAAAAATAAAAGTATAGATTGAAATTACTTTAAAATTTAAGGACTAATATTTTAAATTACTAAATTTTTTAATCTTTATAAAGATTATAAAGATTTTAAAATAATTTTAGTCCTTATAATTTCATTTTTTGAAATTTAGGGACCAATATTTTAAATGGTTAAAAATATAAGAACTACGGTGCATTGAGTCAACATCTAGAAATTAAATTATAAGTTATAACTAAATCAAAATAATAAGAACTCAGTTATGAGTCAAAGTTTTGAGATTAAATTATAACTAAATCAAAATTACAAAGATTAAATAATTTATTTATTTTATATGGATTAAAATTCATAAAATTTATTTGAACCTTGTGGCAATTGCATATAACTCCCCTTACTTTTTAACGTTTAAAATTAACTTTCTTAATATTTAATTTTGTTCTTCAAAATCCCTTACTATTAATTAGTTATTATTTTATTAATATAGTTATTGTCATATCATATTAATGCAACACAATTGACATGTGACATGAAAAAATATTTATTATTATCTTTTAACACAATTTAAGAAGGCATAAAATTACAATTTCTACTTTTAACACATATGATGATGCTCTCTCTCTCTTTTTTTTAATTGAGAACATTATTCTCATTATTCAAGGGTAATAAAATTTAAGAGAAAAATTGTAATTTCATTATTATTTATTAATTAAATCAGCATTTTATATCAAACAAATAAAAAAAAATCTAAAAGCTTCCATTGATAGGAGTCATGTAAATCTTGTTATCTGCTTTGTTTATTTTCTTCATACTTTTATTTGTTTGTAGCTTTTATTTTGTTCTTTGAATGAAATTTTCAGTATTTATTCAAATAAAAAAAATTATATTATAAATGGAGTGTATGTAGCTTTAGAACAAGATATATATATATATATATATATATTTTGCTGTTAGTATTTTGTATCAATTTTATTAAAAGATAACCTGTAAAATATCATAGTTTTTTTATTAAAGGATAAATTTTTATTTATATGATTCTTATCAATAATAATTATTAGATATTTTTCATTTGTTTAATATAAAATATTATTTTAATTGATAAAGAATAATAAAATTATAATTTTTCTCTTGAATTGTGTTACCCGAGAACAATGAGAATATTTTTGTTCAATTAAAAAAATGACAGAAATGTAAATAAAAAATAAATAAAAGCATCATCATGTGTATTAAAGGCAAAAAAGAAAAAATATAATTGATCCCTGTATTTTGTTAGTGTTTTGCTATAAGTTGTTGTACTTTTTTTTGATATTTTGGATTTTTACACTTTTATTTTTTTGTATTCTAGATTCCTAAATAAATAAAATGTAGGGATTTTGGAGGAATTTAAAACACCAAAAAATAAAAGTATAGGGACTCAACATACTTAAAAAAATACAAGGACTTATAATAAAATACAAGCAAAGTATAAGAATTCAAAATTATATTTTTCCAAGCAAAAATTATAACTTTGCCCCTCCTTAAATTGTGTTGAAAAATAATAATAAAAATTTTTTACGTCATATGCCATGTGGGTTACAATAACTATACTAATAAAATAACAATTAATTAATGATAAGGGGTTTTGATAAAAAAATAAAAATTAAAGATTAGGGGCACAAATTTTAAATGTTTAAAGATAGAAAATGTTATATATCACTGTCATAAAGTTTAAGAAAGTTTTATACATTTTAACCTTTTATATTTAAATAAAAAGGTTTAAAATAAATTAAATTATCATTCTACTCTTCCAATCCTTATTACAAGTCATTGATTTTGTTTGGAAAAAGATTTAACTTCTAATTTTACTTGTATTTAAAAAAAATTAATTTTCATCACATTCTCTCTCATCATGAGGATAATATTTAAAAAATATAATTAGTATTCTATCAAGTAACTTATATTAAAAATAAAAAATCCTTTTAGAAGACCAACCTAACAATGACATGATGGAGTATTTATACTTTCTCATCAAGCTAAATTTTATGCCTGTGCAATGTAAGAGAATACTAACCTTTTTTTTTAAAGAGAATAAAAAAGGAATAAAAATTTTAATGAGTTTAATTTTTTAAAAAAATAGAGAGATATGTTAAAAAATTTTCTAGCCACAATTATCCATTTTCTAAAATTTAAGTCATTAAAATTTAAAATTCCACATTCCAACCATTTTCTTTATCCAAACAAATAATGAAAAATAATATAATTTAAATTATGAGTCAATGTTAATTTGATAATTTTATAACAAGTAATAGTTTTTAAAAAGTGTGAAACAAAATTGTATAGGTGGCTACAAATAAATAATTATAATAATAAAAATAACTATATACTTTTATTCCTCCAACATATTTGTGATTAGAAAATAGAACTAAACAATAACTTATTTTATAATAAAATTTGTTTTTCCATAAATAATTAAATATAAGTAATAATTTATTTTAATCTATGAATTGTTATACCCATGTAAATTAAAATTCTAAAACATATATCTTGTTTTAGAATTTTTTTTCTTTTAAATTGCGCGAACATCTTATTTTATTTTAGTATTGGCTACCCATGAATAATAAAAATATAAATGACAATAGAAGGATAAAAATTAATCCCTATTGAAAGAGTTGTTCACATTTAATGAATAACCATGTCTCGAATATAATCGCCTCCAATAGAAAGATACCCATGAGCAATAAAAAATATAAATAACAATTTTTTATTCTTTCACAAATTATTTTAAAATAGGGAGAATTACATTAAGGTCTAACTCAATACAATTAATTTCTCCTAGTTTCATTGACAACTGCTCTTAGGAGAATGATAGTGCAAAAGACCTAAGAGTAATTAATTATCTTGTATGAAAATTGTATGTAATTCTCCTTTTAAAATATGATATCATTTGCATACAAAAAATATGAATAATTTTTATAGATTAAAATTTAAACAACATATTTCAGCTTAAAAGTTATTACATGTAAATATAAACAATCACTTATTTTATTTAAGGATTTCTTATCCTCGTCCATATAAAACAATGTAAATAACACAATTTTGCTTTTATACAGTTATTTAACTAGGTGAAATTCAAATATTGCTCAATACAATTTAAGGTAGTTCTTTCAAAGATATTTTTACATTCACACAACTTTTTATTATAGAAATTTTCACCTCATCAACAACTTATTCTATTTTGTATCTTGTCATTTTGTGTACATTAAAAACATAAATGATATATTTTATAAACAAAATTTATGACCCTTGCACTTTGTTATTAAAATTTTAAAATTAAAAACCAAAATTAGAACATACATAAATAAAAATATATATGTTAAAATACTATCATTTAATTATAGATGATAACTCACTCTATCTTATAATTTATTATCTAATGCCTATTTATAAAGGGATGATAAAATTTTAATCCTTTAATTTTGCATCAATAACAATTTAGTTTTTTAAGCTTATTGTTAGAAGCAAATGTAACATATCATTAAAATTTGCTAACATAAATAAAGAATATTGAGTTGACAGCCACATAAGTTAATGATAAAATCAATCTGACTTGAAGGCAATTTTTTTTTTCATTTAGCCACATGTAATATGTTAAGTCATGAACATATTCTATACATCAGATTAATTTAAATTTGCTTAGTTATTGATAAAAATTAAACTTAAAAAACTAAAGTAATAACTAAGCAAACTTGTAGAGTTAAAAGTTTTATTATTCTTTTAAAAAAACATCATACTTTATTTTAAAATTAGTTACCCCATGGATATTAAATAAATGTACACCAACTTATTCAAGTTGGATCATTGTAGAATTATAGTAATTTATTTTGGAATTTAAATTTTGTAAATGGCTTGGATCAACTTATTTAATGAATATATTAATTATATATATTGAATTATATTAATATTTAAAAATTATTAAAATACATTTTTTCTAAAATTTTAAAATATTTATCATGATCAAAACATTCATCATGTTTATTTTTCTTTTTAAAAATTTAAGATTTTTTTAATATTATATGATAAACCATCTTATAAAAATTAAATTAAATCGAATATATGTTATTGTGTCACTAGTGAAACTCATTAAGTGTAAAGATTTGTTCCACTTATTAAATCTAAATTTGATTTATATCACAAAATCAGTAAACTTCTAACGTTATCCATTGGTGAATTTTATTATATATTTTAAAAGTATTTATTACATCTTTTACATGATTTGTTGTTATTTTTTTTATAAGCAAAACGATAATTTTCAAAAAGTATTTATGACATATTTCCTTAATTACTCTTTATTAAATGATATTATCATTAAATTATAAAACAATAAAACATTAATGAAAATCTATCTTAATCTGAATTTTTAATTTCAGATATAATTAAGATTAATTAATTTTTTTAAATCATGTGAATTGATTAAAATTTGCTTATATTTAAAAATAGAGTGAATAAGTTGATTGATTTAAACAATAGAACATTCTATTTTACAATTTATTATTTAAATTTGTATGTGCAATTAACTATCTTATACATATACAAAATACAAGTAATAAATGATAAGTCTCCTATATTTACAAAAAAATATCATATGTCATACATATTATTTTTATTATGAATCTCATATTTACAAAGATATTTTATTACATGTCTCAGACTTATTTTTTAAATTTTTGTTATGGGTCCAATAAACTCTTAATATGAAAGGATGAAATAGGGAAAAAAAATTAATGGTTACTGTTCAAACAACCATAAATGAACAGTTACCATGACAAATTTTAAAAATAAGATAAGATAAGAATTTACAAATGTATAAGATTTCATGAATTTATAGCTTTCACTTTTGGAGTCTTTTTTTTTTATTGGCCAAAAAAAAAAACTTCTTTTCCTTTGGCGGTCCTTTTTCCGTTTGTTTTCTGTTGACTTTAGTATAGCTTGGCTGCCACCTACCTCCCGCCGTCCCACGTCCTTCGAAAACGGTCCTGTGGGAAAAATTTTCAGTTACCCTCTCACAAAATTTTCATTGCCAAGCGAAAATGGTCAGTCACTGTATGTTCTCTGCTGATCTGTCTCACACTTCACCCTGCTTCCACCATAAAGGTACTTGATGTTTCTTTTTCCTCATACTTGACTTTTGTTTCTCGTTGTATCATCTTCATTTTCTTGGCTTGTTCTAGATCTGCCATCTCTGTTTCGCTATGATGCATTAAATTGACTTTGCTTTAAGTACTAGGAATGACAAATCAGTATTAGAAATTGAAGCGCTGGAAAATGCAGTGATTGATTACAACTAATTAGGTATGAAGCTTTTCCATAAAATGGCAAAGACAAAGGGTTGCACTGCCTAAGTGTGAGACTTTAAAGCGGCTTGAAATCATGAGGAAAACTAGGAAGTTTATAAAGAGTACTATAATTCAAGACCAACTTGGGAGTTTACTAGCAGAAAGCTGTGAAGTATCTTTTCCGAGTAAAGCTGGAGAGAGGATATCCAACTTTGCTCCCGACGGATCTCTCTCGTATGAGAGAAAATCTTCTCTCAACTTTCCTTGATCTTGAAGCAAAATAAGTATAATTGGGTAGATACAACCATTCTGGGAGAAACTTCACTGTAGTCTCGTCTAGTTCTTTTGTATGTTTTTTTCTTTTCCTTCAGGGAAGAACCATCATTGAAGACTGTCCTCTCACAATACTCAATGTAGCCAAAATTTAAAGCCATGTTAATGGAGACAAGCTAAGTTAAAGTGCCTGAGTGACTGACTTCTCTTGAACAATTCGTTTCCATTTTCAAGAAATTTTACGGTGACCAAGTTAACTTGAAGCTTTATTCACCTATCTTTAATGATTTATCTTTTGGGCTCTTCTGAGCTGGTACAATAATCAAAATACTCATGTAGTTAAATGTCTTGCTCAGGAATTTATCTTTTGTCAATCTTCTGCCTCTACATAAAAATATAGGCCGGTAAGCGGCGGTCAAATTAAAATGGTTTTCTTTCAAATGAGAATTTTTAAGATTGAAGTTTCTGTAATAGTGGGCGTTAAAAAGAAGTTCGAAAACACCAACTAGGACTTTGTAAAAAAGAACTATGGTGAAGCGGGTGTAGTATTCTTGAGAGTTTGACAGGACATAAAAGTTTATGTAAACAATTTTCTCTTACATGCTCAAAAGAAAAAAACAATTTTCTTTTACATGCTTACAGAACCCAGACTATATAATACACTACAAGGGGGACAAATATTGTCGTCTGAATTATTCAAAGGGAAGAAACATGAGGGTGTTGAGGTACCAAATAATAGCGTGTAATGGAGGTTCTTCGAATCATTTCATATTAGCTTTGAACTTTTGACGGTATGTTAAAAAATAAGATATAATTATTACATGGTTTGAATTGGCATTGTGATTTGTTTTTATGGTTTTACCTTACCCAACTTAGTAGTATAGCTTGGTTATTACTTATTACATCTTCTTGTTACTTGCTACATTCAGTTAATGGGAACTGGCCTCAGCGTCTTGCCTTGGATGTAAGGCCAGTGCATGTGAGACCTTCAAATGCTTGCAGAATAAGAGCAACATCAGATGTTGACAAATCAATTGAAATTCCCAATCAGTGGTACAATCTAATTGCTGATCTTCCTGTTAAACCTCCTCCACCATTGCATCCTAAGACTCATGAACCAATTAAGCCAGAAGACTTGTCTGCTCTTTTTCCTGATGCGCTTATCAAACAAGAGGTGACTAGTGATAGATTCATCGACATACCGGATGAAGTTCGAGATGTTTATAGTCTTTGGCGACCCACCCCCCTTATTAGGTTTGATTGACTGTTTCATTTATCTCAAACTTTATTTCTAAAACTGCGGTCAGTTGAATCTTATAATTCTTAGTTGACCTTAGAGCCAAGAGGCTGGAGAAGCTTCTCAATACACCTGCCAGAATTTACTACAAGTATGAGGGTGTAAGCCCCGCAGGATCACACAAACCCAACTCTGCTGTTCCACAGGCCTGGTATAATTTGCAAGAAGGCGTCAAGAATGTTGTGACTGAAACTGGTGCTGGACAGTGGGGAAGTGCATTAGCCTTTGCATGTAGCATATTTGGACTTGGCTGTGAGGTAGGAGTACTATATTGATGAATAATTTTCCCAGATGACTACACAGGACCTGTTCAAAAGAAAAAAGGTCTCGAGTGTTATGAACTTCCTGTTAGTACTTGTACAAATTTTTAGCGTGTCTAAACTAGGAAAGTAGAATGAATCTCTGATTTCAAATCTTGTTAATATTCAACATAGTCAAATTCCATTTTAGTGACTCTGCTTTCTGTCAAGAACCATTTCAACTCAAACAGAAACTTCATTTTAACTAAGGATATGTGGCATCGACGGAACTCTAAATCACTTGGTCATGAAAGCTATTATACCGTATCAGGAATTATTCTTTTAAGTTTAAACTGCTATGAAAGGGTCTATAAAATTTTTTTTAAGGTGAATTAATCTTCCCTCTCCATTCCCAAATTATGCTAATCTCTCATCCTTATTTGAAGTATTATTAAACAAATAATAAACCGAATAAATGAGTCAGGTCAGAATTTTACCAAATCTAGGTATAGTAGAATCTACCCAACCATCTACATTAGTTAGACTATAATACATAATAGATGCCCGAAGAGAAAGAGAGGGAGAGGAAGAGTGAACTAGAGAGCTATTTACTCTGGGATGCTTTTACCTCTAGCCTCTGGTCACTATCCATGATGAAGGAGAGTATCCGCATAAAAGGAAGATTCAATGCACATTAATTTGCCTCATTATAGAGGAAATATGTTGATTGGAATAATCGCAATCATGATGGAGGATTGTTTTTGATAGAAAATATGGCAAATATTACTTTAGGAGGAAATAATTTATTAGTTCTTTATTGCTTTTCATTAGTTTATTAGTTTTTGTTGCTTTTCACTTAACTTTTGTAAGTTTCCTTGTTATGAAGAAAACCAGGCAGCACAAGTGACGTTTCCTTGTTAGGAAGGAAACCTTATACTTATAAATAGCATGACTTGTGTATTCAAAAGGGGATGAAAAATGAGTGAAGTTATTTGATATATTTTGAAAACTCTCCCTCCAGTCTGCGTCCTTCCCCTCTCAGTTCTTCATCCCTCTTTGTTCTGCCCTTCCTTGTCTCTTCCCCCACTACCCTCTTCTCGTCCCTCTCCCTACCACTCGTGAGTGTTTGTGTTTTACATCAACTTGGTATTAGAGAAAGGCTCTGATTGTTCCTAGGCTTTTCCGTGGCCAGAGATCGTAGAAAACTCACAAGGAAGCTCAACATACTCTGTGTTCACGCTGCAAGCGCCCAGAGCCACATTTCCTGATGTCAGATTCGAAAACGGATGCCACCGTCGTGCTCAGGAGGAGAAATCCGGTCAGAACTAGAAAAACCACCTCCGCTCGCGGGCACACACGCCGGCACATGCCGGAGGAGTTTCTGCTCGTGGTCATCAAGTGCCTCACGCCCCATCACATGCGCCGTCCGTACAGTTTCGCCAGAACCTGATTTTCAGCATTTTCTTGTGTTTTTGCAGAATTTCTTCAACTCTGAAGAAGCTAAAGGGCACAAGTCATCGTTTAAAACTTATTTGGGGGTAAGACTTTTTGTTTAGGCTCCTTAAGCAACGCTGGTAAGGCTGACAATGCTCTCATTTAACTGGCTTATTTGGTTATTAAAGGGAGGTGTTTTATTTATAGCTAGTTCTGAAATCTTTGTTGTGTGGTACTTTGGTTTCTTTGAGCATTGCAATTTTTATTTTTTTAATCGTGTTTTAATTTAATATTTTGGAATATATATATAAAAAAGGAATTTACATTGATCATTATGTTATTAATTTGTGACTTTTGATAGTAGTATTCATATAACCTAGGACACCTACCTCACACAATTCAGCCCTATACCCGGGTCCAAAAATTACCCTAGTTAGTTGAAGTTTCTAACGATTTTCCTGAAAGGTTTTTGAACCTTCGGAGATTTTTGTGAAGATTTCACTCGAGTTGTTACCTATTTAGCATACGATCCCTGTGGAATTTTTGAATTCTCAGAAGATTAGTGTTGTTAAAAAGGAACTTCACCTATTTAAGTGCGGGCAACTTGGGGGCCTTTCTTCCTTAGGTTATTAAATCCACTCCAAACTTGCACTTTACTATACCATCTTTGTCATTGTATGACCATTCGTGATTTATATGATAACCAAGCTTTATTAGACCAAGAAATTACTGCCTTAAAATTTGCCATGGCCAATAACTCCCAAATCACCCAAAATCATCTTGAGGAATATGAAAGGACTCAAAGGGCATATGTGGACCAGCGGCTAGATGAAATTAAAGAATTCATGAACAATAAATTTGAAGAGATAATGGGTGCAATTCAGTTAACATACATACAAGATATAGGGAAAACGACTAAAGGGTTACTCAAAAGACCTATCATTAGAGGAGAGTCAAGTCTTAGAAATGAGCAATTCCCAGTCCACAATCAACTTAGGGGTAATTCTCTTAGGATTGGTCATTCCTCTAGAACTATAGGTAAAAGACACAGTAGACCATCTCCTCATGAGTTTACTAATCATCATTCTGATGACATAGATGATACTTGGGATGGACAAGGGCTTGAAGAACAATATTATAGACCATACCAGCTAGTTTATAGGAATGGTAGAGAAGGCCTTAGAAGGACACATGCTGATAACATCACCAAAAAAGTTAAAGTTGAAGCTCTTGAGTTTGATGGATGATTGAATCCTAGTTCGTTCTTGGATTGGTTAGCCGGCATGAAAGATTATTTTGAATGGTATGACATGAGAGATATTCAACGAGTTCGGTTTACAAAGATGAAGCTTATGGGATCTGCTAGAAAATACTAGCAAAATGTCCAAAGGAACATTGAGCGACAAGGTTATCCACCGATTGAGATATGGGACGAAATGAAGGCCAAGTTGAAAGAAAAATATATGCCGACTCATTATAAGAGTCAACTGTATGACAAATACCTTAATTTGAGGCAAGTCTCCATAGCTTCCGAGTATATTTCTTGATTCGATGACCTTATGATTAGATGTGACGTGGATGAAGAGAAATGGCGTACTATTACCAAGTTTGTTAATGGACTCAAGCTATATATACAGAAGGAGCTCAAGTTAAACTTTCCAGAGTCTCTTGAAGAAGCTTATCATAGGACTTTGGAAGTAGAGTCTCTGTCATAGTACTCGTCTGTAAAGTGTATCGACATGTAGAGCAATCAGTTTAGACAAGCACGAACTTCCAGTCTGTCTGAACAACCAACAGGAACACTTATATCTAGGCCTAGCTCGTCTTTTACACCTACTCAAGCAACTGGGTTGAAGGGTAATACTTCTAAGCCTAGTGAGGCTATAGTTCCCGCTTCCCGCCCTAACAATTCTTTTATTGAGTGTTTTTGCTGTCACTCAATGGGTCACATTGCATCGAAATGCCCATAGCATACTCTAGTTATTGACTTACAAATGTGAGGGTGAGGAAAACGATGCAAATGCTGATGTTGTCATAGATCTGGTTGAGTGTCCTTCAAATGTCGATGAGGACATCATCATTGATGAACATGGGTGTGAGACACGTCGAGTTGGAGTTATGCGATGCATTCTATTTGTCCCTCTACCTAGTGATTCATGGAAGCGAACAAGTATTTTCCACATTTTTGTGAAGTGTGGAGATAAAGCTTGCAAATTAGTGATTAATGGAGAGAGTTCTAGAAATGTTATTTCTAGTCAAGGAGTAGACCAACTCGGCCTCAAGACAGAACCTCACCCAGAACCTTTTCGTATTGCATGGGTCGACAAAACTTCTTTACCAGTCACCCAACAGTGTCGCGTTCCTCTTCACTTAGGTGACTCTAAAGAAGAGATTATTTGTGATGTTCTTCCAATGGATGTTGCTCACATTTTATTAGGTCGATCGTGGCTTTATGACCACAATGTTATCAATCATGGTTGTGAGAATACCTATACATTTAAGCATAGAGGCAAGACGATCCTGTTACGTCCTGTTAAGCCTGACAATGAAGGCAAATACTCAAGTAAATCGAAAGGCATAAAAACCCAAAACCCACAACTTGCATCTTCTAACAAAAAAACAATTTGTATAAGAAAACAGAGAAAGTACAATTGTATTTATTTTGGTATTCAAGATCTCACAATGAATTGCCACTACTTTAGAAATGCTAGAAGAGGTGCAACAGCTCTTACAACAATTCCGGGATATCACTCCAGGTGAGTTTTCATCTGAATTATCACCAATGAGAGATATCCAACATGCAATTGATTTCATTCCAGGTTCTAAACTCCCCAATCTACCGCACTACAGGATGAACCCTAAAGATAGGGCAGAGCTTAATCAACAAGTCAATGGATTATTGGAAAGAGATTATATCTAGCATAGTATGAGTCTTTGTGCAGTACCTGCTCTTTTAAGCCTAAAGAAAGACGGCTCTTGGAGAATGTGTGTAGACAGCAGCGCCATCAACAAGATCACCATCAAGTATAGGTTTTCCATTCCTAGACTTGATGACATGCTTGATTTAGTGTCTGGATCTAGTTGGTTTTCAAAGATTGACCTTAGAAGTGGTTATCATCAGATTAGGATTAGATCTGGAGATGAGTGGAAGGCTGCTTTTAAAACGCAAGATGAGTTGTTTGAATGGCTTGTCATGCCTTTTGGGTTATCAAACGCCCCAAGTACATTCATGAAAGTAATGACTCACCTCCTTCGCTTATACTTGGGAAAATTTTTGGTGGTATACTTTGATGACATACTAGTTTTTAGCAAGTGAAAAGAAGAACACTTGGAACATTTTGAGTTAATTTTTCTCACCTTGCATCAAGAACAGTTTTATGTTAACTTGTCTAAGTGTTCATTTCTTCAAAATCAAGTCATCTTCCTAGGTTTCATAGTTTCTGAAAGGGGCTTAGCAGCTGACCCTAAGAAAGTCCAAGCCATTCAAGAATGGCCTGAGCCACAATCTCTCCATAAAGTACGAAGTTTTCATGGCTTTGCTTCTTTCTATAGATGCTTCATTAGAAACTTCAGTACCATTATGG